CCTTAAGGGCCTTAACGTAAATTTAAAAAAACAAATTTAATTACTTTTTAACGGTTTAGTGAATCGATTTGTAATTTTTACAGTTTTAGAATTGAATGAGGAACGTTCTTCCAAATTTTTGTTTGTCTCGTAGCATTTTGACATACCTCCCAAACATTCTTAAAGGTTGCGCCTCTCGAAATTTCTCTGAAAAATTTACAGGATCTCAAAAACTGCAAAAAAAAAGACATCGTATTCTATGCATATTTTGATCAATATCTCAAGAACTGTCTCCTAAAAGAATGTTGTACTGGAGATTTTTAATCGTCGTTAAATTTTCTAAAAGATAAGTTGACTGCGAAAAAATGTACCTGCACTTCGACGAGTTGACAAGCAATGATATTATGTGTTTTCAATAAAAATCTAATATAAAACAGTCCAAAGTATGTATAACTAATATTTACAGCTTAATCAAGATCGGTTATATACTTTCTACATAATTCTTTCTACTTACCTTTTAAAAATTATATTTAGCAGTAAATACTACTACTACCCTCACGTTAATCCACATTTTAAAAAACGTTTTTTTTTTATACATTCTGCAGTTCTTGAGCTCCTGTAAATTCTCCGGGATTTTTTCGATGAGACTAACCCCCGGATATTGTTCAGAACAAGCAATTAAAAAAACACAGCCTTTTTTGGCACATTTTGCAGTTTTTGAGTTTCTGTAAATTCTCCAGGATTTTGTTCACAGGAGTAACCCTTAGATATTGTTTAGAAAGTTGTTCTGGACAGATTAAGCGAAAACCACCTCACTTTATGTAGTTCCTGGACTAATCTTATAATAAATTAAATATATTCTCTGAGAAGAGAATTTGATAAGCGAAACTATTTTTTGCAATCTCCTTCGTGTTCCCTGTCATTATTTTTTGCTTCTCCTAGGTTGGAACCGTTAACTTTAATATATTGCACGCCCTTTTGCATATTATAATACAACAACAACAAATGTTAGAGTTGAAGGTTGAATTTCGGGGCGATGAAAGTACTCGAGTGCAAAATTTAATGAATACCTCCAAAAAGGGACCTACGTTGACTCTATCGGAATATGCCGTACAAGGGCAAAAAGGAAAGGGAGGTAAGAATTTTTTTTAATACAATATGTGACGACAAAGGTATCGTACAATTAATGCAAATTTAACGACCTAATATTTATCATAATATAAGTAAGTACACCTTATTATGTACGGTGGAATTCGTTTATTATGACTCCGCCTGTATTGACCAACCGCTTAATATGAAGTACTTGCAGTGTTAATTTTGGTTTTCATATTAAATTCTCTATAGGAAAGTTCGGATATAATGACTCCGTTTATATCGCGTATTATGACTGATTCTCAAGAAATCATATCCGGCTATAGTGACCCAAATGATTAATAATTTCGCTCATTTATCTGACCCTACAATTAAGCGAGCGCCATACAAAGCAGCTCGCTTAGTATGACGTGTTTGTCATTTCCCTTCGATGTCATTATAAGCGGATTCTACTGTAATTTTGTTTCCAGGGTGGCGGTCAAATAATTACACAACTTTGTTTTTATAACGTTTCGATTTATTCAACCATCTTCAGACATTTGATGTGTTACTGCTTGTATACTGAGTACTAAGTATGCAGTAGTTTAACATGAAAGAATGTTTAAAATTAGGTTAATATCTGTGTACAAGCAGTAACACTTCAAAAGTCTGAAGATGATTGAATAAACCGAAACCATACAAAAGACATAAAGTTGTGTAATTACTTGACCACCACCCTGGAAAAAACTACATAATTTAATAGTAACGTTCAGGAATCTAACTTAAAAATGTACGCTTTATTGCAGTAAAATTAGTAATTTTTATATATAAATATAAATTTTTGTTGCAGGTGGTAAATCTGGAGAAGAAGGTAAGTAAGACTAATTTTTTAAAGGTAGTAATTCACAACTAGCGCGTATATTCTACTTTTTGCATTCACATTGATTACAAAGTTCAATTTTGTGTATTCATTAACTGTTACAAAAATTTTGTTAATTTTCTTCTGGTGAAGAATCGATATGCATTTCTTTCTCCAAAATTGATGGAAGGAATGTTAATACAAAAGAGTCTTTATGAATATTTGGACTCTATGAATTCTTAAAAGTTAATATAATTTATATAATTTCAATACTATTAATTTTTCATAACGCTACTCCTTAAAATGTTCTAAGGAATTAAAAACTGGAGAATGCTCCTGGCTGATTCTTCATCTAAAATAATCCAGGGCCCAAATCATAACCCAGGGGCTTATTTACTGAAAATCTAATTTCAGCTCCTCATTATCTTTCAACCTTTAGGTATATAAAACCAAAAATTAAGCAAAAAATTCCCTGTGATTCTGTTTGAACGTTAGTTTAAATTCGGAACACTAAGCTGCCACCTATTCTAATAGATATACCTAATTTAAATAACAATAATTCGGTCGTATGGGCGCGATATTTTATCATTTTTAAGAGAAAGTAAAACAAAAAAATTGATAGCAATCAAAAGTAAAAATGCTTATAATCTTAGATTTGGTTATCGAACTCAAAAGAATATGTGAAAATGCGTTTTTCTTTTAAACTTTTACATTGGTTTGACAATTTATTCAGTATCGATGTGGTGTTTTCTTCCGGGGTTTTTGGCCGTGGTCCGTGGAATTTTACTTTTCCAAATTTTCCGCCGTTCTTTGCTAACGGCATCTTCAGTGGTGACTGGACAAGTACTGAATCGTAACAGATGATTAGTCACCACTGAAGATGCCGTCCGCAAAGAACGGCGAAACGTTTGGAAAAGTAGAATTCCACGGACCACGGTCAAAAAGCCCGTCTGTCTGTTTATTTAAAATTAAAAAAAAAAAATTATATTTCGTGGACTCACGGCCAGAGTTTAATTTCCTTCTGATTCTTGGGTTCTGCCGTGGTCTGAGTTTCGGATTTTGCCATTGTGGTAAAATGTTTAGAAGAAATCAACCCGGACATTTCCAGAAGCAAGGAGGAAGAAATTTTCATAGACGTTTATTATTTTACCTATTGATTATTATATGTCAAATGAAACATATAAAAGAGTGAATAAATCTAAAATTCCATAAAGACAAAATGCTAAAAGTAAGTAGGTAAATAGTTTTAGACAACAAGTGTAAAAATTTCAAACACTAAAAATGTCTATTAATAAAATTTTTCTCCATTTACATTTTTATTGAATGATTACGTTGGAACTGTTAAAACTTTCTTAAAAATAATTAAAATTAAATTGGAAATTTTCGAACGGAGGCGATGGATTTATGATTTGTTTTTTACTTAACAGCCTCGTAAATATACTGATAATTGTTGTACGTACCTAATTCATTTAAAAATCTATTTATTATTTTATCCCCTTGTAAACTAAAGATTAATTTAATAAAATTATTGGGTTGTTCGGAAAGTCATTTCGTTTTTTCCCGACAGAGGATTTAATTGTATTCTTTTGCACCCCTTTACAGCATGTAATTTTAATTAATATTTTCGAAGATATTACAGATTTAAAATGGAGGGACATAGCGGTTG